AGTAAAAAAACAAATTAATATAAATATAAAAAAAATTTAAGAACGTATTGCCAAATCCACGGCGATTTTGCCAAATCCACCTCTAACAGCGGAAGATGGGCGGAAAACAGTCGAGAAAAACGAACAAACTTTTCAGCCAATCGACTTGAAACTAATTTTCAAAGCTTTGCATAGCAAATAACTTGGGCATATGGAATCCACAGCTTTTGGAAAATCCACCGCCGCGCGTGGAAATGAGTTGAGCAAAAAACATTTTAGTTAAATGGTTTCCAATTCATTTTCAAAACTTCATTTGAACAAGAGTGAAACCCAATTCACGGGCGTAAACGGATTTGAAATTTGACTGTCCTGGCAATGCCGGGTAACACTCCCAACTTTAACCCTCATGTAACCGTATAGACTTTTCCAATTGCAGGCAATCTGATAACGCTGCTGGCGCTGCTCAAGAGTCCAACGATACGCGAACATGCAACAACCGCCTTTGTCATATCTCTGAGCATATCGGATCTACTATTCTGCTCCTTCAGCCTGCCCCTGACAGCTGTGCGTTTCTTTCAGGAGGTGCGTAGAATCGAATGGAATCGAATCGATAAATAATATATACTCACGAAACTAATTACTTTACACTAAAACTCAACAGAGCTGGACATTCGGCAGCACGCTGTGCAAGATCTTTCCCGTCATCTTCTATGGCAATGTGGCCGTCTCCCTGCTCAGCATGGTGGGCATTACACTCAATAGGTAGGGTATTTCGATTGACTGAGGGAACTCTAAAGATACTGCCATACCTTATATAGAACTAGTTCGTAATTTGGTTTGCATATCATTTTCATAATATCTGCGAATATCGTTTGTGTCAAGCGCATTTTTAGGCACAACTCGAAAACTTTAATAGCTGGCAACGCCAAACTTGGTATATGAATATATATTTGGTATTTTTTAAATACCTTTAAATACCTTCTTAAATGTTTGACAATGCTACAAAGAAGTCATTTCAAAAGACAGATCCTTGCGCACGAACTTTTGTCAGCCCAAAAATTGCATTCAGATCGGACCACAAGTACCGAAGTAACTTAAGAACCAATTGAATTATTCTATTTGAAAGTAGTGAAATTGTCGCCTGTTTGTTTGTTTTTAAGACTAAATTTCGTTTTGTTTTAATCCAGGTACATACTCATCGCTTGCCACAGCAGATACTCACAGATCTATAAGCCCAAGCTGATCACGCTGCAGCTGGTGTTCGTTTGGGCCGTATCCTTTCTACTGCTGGTGAGCCAAGTCAAATTGTTTTCAATTTTCTTTGATTTATCGATGTTGAATCGTTTCGTTGTTTAGCTGCCACCCATACTGGGCATATGGGGCGAGATGGGCCTGGACGAGGCCACCTTCTCGTGCACAATACTCAAAAAGGAGGGTAAATCGATCAAGAAGACTTTGTTTCTGATTGGCTTTCTGCTGCCCTGTCTGGTCATTATAATATCATATTCCTGCATCTATATAACTGTGCTCCATCAGAAGAAGAAGATACGCAGTCACGATAACTTTCAAATTGGCGCCGCAGCCGGCGCCAAAACAGGATCAGCATCCGGCTCGTATGTGACAACGACGAGCACACGCAAGGCGCGCGAGGACAATCGCCTAACGGTAATGATGGTCACCATATTCTTGTGCTTCCTCATCTGTTTCCTGCCGCTGATGCTGGCCAATGTGGTGGACGATGAGCGCAACACCAACTATCCCTGGCTGCACATTATCGCCTCGGTGATGGCCTGGGCATCCAGCGTCATCAATCCGATTATCTATGCGGCCAGCAATCGCAACTACAGGTGCTACTCTTTATTAATATAATATACAAATCAATTCCAAATTGATCACATGTTAAATATCTTCTGCATGCAGGGTGGCCTACTACAAGATATTCGCATTGCTCAAGTTTTGGGGCGAGCCGCTGTCACCGATGCCAAGTAGAAACTATCACCAAAGCAAGAACTCAAAGGAATTATCAGGCGTTATTCGCAGCACGCCATTGTTTCATGCTGTTCAGAAGAATAGTATTAACCAAATGTGCCAAACATATTCAGTATGAGTGTCTTTTGTATTCGAATTTGCAATACGACATTAACTACTTATTAAACTATACCATATATGGTATTCACTTCTTTTTTTTTCTCTCTCTTTAATTTATGTTTATTTACACGAAAAACAAATCAAACAGCATAAGTAAATAATATATATATATATATATATATAAATAGACTATTGACGATATATTGTAATTGCATTTTGATTAACTGCCGCATTCCCGGCAACAGTGTTGCCAGACTTTCAACAGAAGTCGCTACAAATAGCCAAAATATACCATTTACCTGTACCATTTACCTTAAATTTAACAATATACTTTAAATTAAGATAAAGTTAATGATTCGGCCACCAAACAGGTCTTAAACTAAGCTCAAACTAACAAATTCGGCTATTTAAGTCACATTTCTAGTCTTTAGATAAAAAATAGCTAAAATTAGCTATAAAAGAGCTCAAATGTCAGCACAATTTCACCACGATATCAATTAGGTAGAGCCAGCGCGTGTGGTGAGTAGCTACAAATGAACGGTACATCCCTCACTAGCGCTGACATTTAAGGCCGATAAATTAATCGATAGGCAATAAGTTATGCACATAACACGAAATAATGCAGGCGTTCAGTAGTTAACCAACCGTTGGCTGTATCAAATAGCTACTAACGATTTTAAAAGTGGTTTATGTTTTGTTAAAAGTATTTTTGATCAACAACCGAAATGTTGTTAACTAGCTGAACGCGCACACTTGTAAGCATTAATCTTTATCGATATTTCAGAGAACAGAAAACAAATATTCAAATCAAATTCAGCTGTTCCGTGTATGTCCTGCTGCTGTTCAAGCTGATTGCGCAACGTCCATATGAAGCTTGTGTGCGTGTGTGTGGTGAGTATGAGTGTCTGTGGTGAGTGCGTTGGTGTGTGTGATTGTGTGTGCGATTAAAGGGTATGTTGTTGGGGCAAGCGCCTAGCACTGCCTGCCATTGGCCTGATCAAACAATTCGGAATTAAAAGTCTTATCGCTAGCGAATGGGAACGGCTCGATGGCATCCTCATTGATTATCTCGAGTATTTTCTTGACCACGTCCGGATTCTCATCTCGGTTCTCCTCGCAAATGACCTTCACATCGCGCAGCTTCGACACATACATATCGCGATCCTGTTCGGCCCGTTCCAGTTCATGGAGCACGCCGTGCATATCGAACTGATCATCGGCCAGCTCGATAACTTCCTTCTCCTTTCGATAGGTCAAGTGTGCATCACTAACGAATGTGCGAGTGCGCACCTGATGTGCGCTATATACGGAGCGTGCACTGTTCGACGGACCCTTGGAGCCGTTGCCGGAGCTCGAGCCGAAGCCCATGGTGACGCCATCGCGCACGGCCAAGGCATTATAGGCCTTGCCCTTGTTGTTGGCATTGAAGAACTTCCGGAACCATTGCAAGAACTCAAAATTGTCCTGAAAACGGCCCTTGATCAGCCGCTCAATGGGTATCTCCTTGTGTACGGCCTTCTTCTGAAAGCTCGCCTGCAGCAGCTTAAAATTGTGCACAAATTCGTGCTCCTGATTGGCCCGGAACTTGATGCGTTTAATGGCCACCGAATTGGGGAACAGCATGTCCATAAATTGGCAATAGGCAGCGCCTGTGTGTGCAGCAAAAGTGTGACCAAAAGAGACATGAAAATCAAGTGACAAAAAGAAGGTTGCAAGCGCAATACGATTCAAAAACCCGATTGCATCAGGCCGATAAGTGTTATCGATTAATGGAAACGGAAGACCGTTAGAAACTATCGAGCTGTGCAATTTGTGAGCAAACCTCATCCCTTATCTTTAGGTGCTCAATTGGAGACACGAATATACCCCTCTTCACAGGCTGAACAGCGTATTAGACGTTGCACCGCACTTACCTGTGCAGAGCTCCTCGATCTTTGTGAATTCAGCTTTCATTTGTGTATTGACCCAGGACAACATCTCGTGGCGCGACCAATTTTGCGATGAGACATTTGTCGAGTGCACGTTGACGGCCATTTTGCCTCGATCCATTGCGTTCGCTTATTGCTTATCGATTCTACGCACAATATATATATATATACATATATATATATATACATATGTATATATATATATGTACTATACTAGTGGAGAGTTTTATTTATTTTCCCAAATTCACCGAATCCCTAAGTCAACTACAGCTTGCTAAGTTAATATTCTATGCGCATTGCCTAGACTCCATATATATGTATCTGCCTCTACTAAAAAGCCAACTCTGCATCGAAACGAAAATCGTCAACAAGGTTTCAAGCAATTGCGGGACAGTGTGCGTTAACCCTTCGATGGGCAGCGTGACTAATTATCAGTATTGTAAACTGTGCAAAAGAAATTCCCGTTTTAAGCTGTACGAAATTATGTCCTTCATTGAAATCAGCCAAAAATGTTTTTGAAAATATTTTATATTTGAAGTACTTCAGACTGCGCAATAACAGAATAAAGCTAAGGCTCGTGTGCTGCAAGCTTTACACTCAATTTTCTCTCTTAAACATTGCTCTTAAATGAAATGAAGGCCTCTTGCAGAAGTCTCAGCTTCATTGGAAAGATTTTGTCAGAACTCTTTGATAAACGTTTGACGGCTTCTTGGAAAGCTGTAGACATGCCCTTGAAAGCCATTTAATAGCTGACAAGACGCTGAAAAATACACACGCTGGATAATTCCATTGCAATAACAGTTATTGCAGCTAAGGCTCGAAAGCTGCTCGCTTTATTTTCAAACTTTCTCTCTTTAGCGCCGTTTTCCAGCCAAGTTGACGCTTTGCCTGGCAGCGCCTTGGAAGGCGTTTCGACAGCTTTGAACACTGGAAAAAAAAACGCACTACACGCGGGCTTCTTTTTTTTTTTTGCTTTTTTGGTTTAACACAAATACACATGGTTGGTCACATTTAAAAAAAATGGTTTTATTCTTATTCCTTTTGCTTTGTTTTTCTTTTTCAGGAGAATATTCTTAGCGCACACTAGTTATTAACAACAATTGTTGCTGCATTTAAATCTATGCCTTGACGGCATATTTGCGTTGCGGGAAGATGGAACGCTTGCGGATTTCCTTGAGGGTCTTGCGGTTGGCGTCGCGCGACGACAGGGCCTTACGCATGGCGCGGGTCTTCTTTTTGCGCAGATCCAAGGGCTTGTACTTCTTGTTCTTGAACACCTTGCGCAGATTCTCCTTCTGCTTCTGGTGCATCACAATGTAGACGCGAGCGATGGCTTTGCGCACAACGCGGCTGCAATTCAACAAAAACAAATTAGTCAAGAAAATAGATTGGGCAGAGGGGCGGGTTGGGGGGTGGCGACTTACATCTTGGACAGCTTGGAGGGTGCTCCGCCGGTGACTTTGGCCACGCGCAGATTGAGCAGCTCATTCTTGAGCTCATCCAATTGCTTGGTGAGCTCCTTCTTGTCCTTGGTTCTCAGCTCTGAGCACTTGATCTTCACCTGTGAGAATAGAGCCAAATGAAATTTTGCAACAATTTAGTTAACAATTCGTTTCGAGCGCGCACACACAAAAAATAATATGTCACACTATAAATATGCACAGTTCGGTTCGTGTTTCATACATTTCTTTATTATTTTATGCACGGATGTGTTTTATTTTTTAAAATTTAAAATTCACAGAAACTCGGTACCAACCATTTTTCTCGCTGGTCACGTCAAAAAAGAAAGAACTAGGGTCGTACAAGCGATTGAGGGCTGTAGCACGAAAACAAACAGGCGATTTTGACACATGACAGTTATGCCACTTTTCAACACTAGCATGCTGCTCAGCACTGCTGTTTGTGGAGCAATGCTGTTAAGCGACAGTATGGCAACGCCGATATATCCAGCCCACAGCCCCCGCACAACCAAAGCAATTCCACAATTTGTTTAAGCTCACTCCACTCGTAAATGAACGGATTGTAAAAACAAAACGTAACAGATAAACAAACAAATTGAAATCATGGCTGACAGAGCTATAAAGCTGCTTATTATCGGTGAGAGCGGCGTTGGAAAATCCAGGCAAGCTATCAACACAATTCTAATTCCAATTAAGTTTTTCAATTGCGTATTTCCAATGCGCACACATACACGCATGTAAACAATACCCAAATAGAGGTTGCCTTAACAGCACTGAGTCATTTATGTGTTTTGCGTATTTCGCATTCGACTCCAAAGTCTGCCTCATTGCTTGCCCTTTTTTATTATTTTAATTTGTATCCTATTGCAGTCTGATACGTCGTTTCGTTGAGAACAAGTTCGATGACAATCATGACGTCACAATTGGCATGGACTTCAAGAGCGCCATCATGAATGTGGATGGCATAGACTACAAGGTTGCACTGTGGGACACAGCGGGCGCCGAACGATTTCGCAGCCTGACGCCCAGCTTCTATCGCAAGGCGCTGGGCGCCATACTCGTCTATGACATCACAAATCGCGAATCTCTGGTCAAACTGGAGGCTTGGCTGGCCGAGCTGGACAGCTACAGTGACAACCCCAACATAGCGATTATTGTGGTTGGCAACAAAATCGATCAGGAGCGTGTCGTCGATCGTGAGGAGGGTCGCAAATTTGCGCGCAAGCATCGGGCGCTCTTCATCGAAACATCGGCCAAATGTGATCAGTACGTTAGTGATGTGTTCAAGGATATTGTAGAGAAGGTGCGCTCTTTTCTGTACCATTTGTATACTCAAATGTTTACTCATTTTATCCATATGTTCTTTGTGCAGATTGTTTCCTCCGAATATTTTGGCAACGGCAATGCCTCGAACGGCATGACCATAGACAATGTCCAGGATGTGGATTCGGCCCCATCAACGTGTTATTGTTGATGCGTGTCCTGTGCTCATTCTCGGTTTTTTCTTTTATCGCCATTCTATAAATTCTAATTTTGATAAATTTCTAGCGTGTATTTATTTAAACGTTTCAACTTCATTAGCATAAATGCTTTCTCACATATCCCTAAACAAAAAAAAAGAAACAAATCAAAGCGGTTCGGTAAGCAATACCACAAAATGTTAAATGTACCTCAACTGTAAATATAACTATCCCATAAATTAATGCAATTGGCTAACAATAATTTGCCTCACTGTTTTTATATATTCGGCAAACGAAAGAGAGCGATAGCGCCCCGTTATACTCAACTCACCACGCTGCGCCTCTCACTGCGCAACCTCTCATAGCAAAAACATAGTTTTAAGGCTTACTTTTGTGTTCTTTCTTTTATTATTAAATCTTAAATGAAGACATTGCTTCAAGTCAAAAGCTCTTTGCGCTAAAATTCATTAAAAAAAAAAGAATAAAAAATAAAAGATACATTGTACACTAATTACCGCAAAAGTAGACAAAAAGAAAAACGATGTTTAGATAGAAAAATGTACATGGAGCACGATTGTTATTCATTTGCTTTTCATTCATTTTGATTGCTGTTGGTTTGTTTGCGTGTGTGTGTGTGTGTGTGTGGGTGGGTGTGTGTGTGAGAGTGTATTTACATATCGATGAATCTTTTCTCTTCTTTTTTCTGTTTTGCAATTATCTCTAAAAACACAAGGTGACAAAATTGGTGACGGCGTTTCATAAGCGAAACAATTCCAGCCGCACACGCTATGTATGTACACTTTCTATAATCATAGTGTTTGGTTTATAGTATTATTATTAATTTTTTTTTTTTTTTTTTGTTTCGTTTCTGTATAGTGTCTAGGCATTACAAATGTAACTTAAAGTATAGCAACCTCTCTGCAGATCGATCGCTGTTATACACCACGCTGCCATCTGTCATCTATTTGCCGGCGATGCCACTCTTTTTGGCATCCAATTCGTAGATGAGCAGTCGCCACATTTTCACCACAAACACCTCAGCCTCCTCGTCCAGCACCTGTGTGGCAGTCAAAGAGAGAGGGGGGGGGGGGGGGGGGGGAGAGAGAGAGAGAGAGAGAGAGTACTGTTTAAAAATTTGCAGTCGTGGTGAGTTGAGTGTGGTGGATCTTACCATTTGGACATCGTCCAGTATGCTTTGAGGCGGACTGCCGGCCAATACTTTGGAACATATAAAGTCCACTAACGTTGGCTCCGGCTCACCGATATATTCGATGATTTTCTTATTGATCCATGGACGTATTTTGCGTTCCATTAGACCGCTGTCGATCTCGTTGCGGTCAAGCTTATAATTAAATAGCTCCTCCTTTTGTGTGGGTATCCTGTCAATAATGCTTTTTATATGCCGGCGTTTTTCATCATGCACCTTTGCACCATTCTCATCCTTTTTGGTGTTTGTCGCGGCAGCATCTGCGCTGCCCGCAGATGCGGCTGCATCATTCTTACCATGGTGTTTGCCGCCGCCGCTGCCGGCGCCGCTGCCGCTGCTGCCATGCTTTCCATGCTGGCCACTATTCTTGCCGCCATTTCCGCTGCCCAGCGAGCCGGAGGATGTTGAACCAGAGCCGCCGCCGCTGCCACCGCCACCGGCATTGGCTATCTTTTGGCTAACGGCAGCGGCAGCAGCTGTCGCCGCTGATACAGCAGAACTTTGACGCTCCGCGGCCGTCTGAGATGCACTCATCGACGTGGTGCTATTGCTTATATTGTCATCGTAATCTGGAATAAACAACAAATATTACTTAAGTCTCTTAAAGGCATTTGTTGCTCTTAAGTGCGGCCAAAGAGAGCGCTCTCTTAAGTTTGTCTGCAAGACAGCAATTCATATGCATTTGCCTGCAACTATGGTGAAATACACTATATATATTTTCACCACAGAGAGAGAGAGAGAGAGAGAGAGCGCTCTCTTACGTTTGTGAGCTAGACTGGCATTTATATATGTATGCTTTGGCATTTGGCTGCGTCCGTGGTGAATTAATACAATTTATATTTTCACCATGGCTAATTGCTCCACAGGAACTATACACACACACACACACGAACTATATATATAAGCCATAGCTTGGCTCTCTTTATGCTGCGTGAAAACAAAAGAGAGCGCGCTCTTGCGATTTGGCCTGTGCTCAATTCACCACGCCTCTCTTAAGTGTTGCAGGCTTAAGCCTTATAAGAAGAGCAATTAAAAGAGCACGCAAGCAATCTCGTAAGTTAGTTATCCCTTAACGAAAGTTTAACAGTTGGTTTAGGTTTAAGCACAATCTATCTATCAACATGTTATCTTGCTCTAAAACGTGGGTTTTTTGGAGGATCCGTCCCCTTGAGGTGCTAGAGTTCGACAGGCAACATGCCCTAGAAGGTGCCATCTAGAAGGCCGGCGGATGTTGTCTCCCGCTAACCTAATCCTGTTCCTAGCACAGGATATATTCCCCCGAGATCGGACATGGTCGAAGGGTAAACTTGCTGACACTCACCTAACGGCACAAGTTTGCGCTTCTTGGGATTGATGTTCTCGTCGTTGTCGTCATCGTTGACAAACACGCCGGTTGCCTCAATCATTTTCTTTTTGAGATTGTTGCCCAATGTGAGCGAGATGATCGGCATGGTTACGGCGGAGGCAGACGCGGATGCGCCATGATCATTGTCCATGGCGTTCATTGTGGGCGTGTGAATGTTGGACAGCGAATCTCTCGACTCGCTGTTCTGGCGACTCACGCTCTCCGCCTGGTTGCTATTGTTGTTGTTGTTGTTGTTGCTGATGTTGTTGTTGTTGCTGTTCTTCAGATGCGAGTAGCCGCTGGCATTCGAGGCCGTGTCCGCCATGGAGGCGCGCTCATCGTTGGTCGATATGGAATCCTCCGAGGGCGGCGCCTTATGCACATGCCCCGCCTGAGCAGCCGCCATTCCGCCGACAACGCTGTCGCGGCTGTCGTAGTCATCGTTCAGCTGTGGCTTGCGTCTATCCGACTGCAGCTGCAGCTGCTGCTGCTGCTGCTGTTGGAGTTGCTGCTGCAGGGGCTGCAGCTCTGTGTCGCGCCGCTGCGCCTCCAGGTTGACATTGATCAGGATGCGCGGCTCGTAGAGTTTCTCGATTTCGCGGCGCGCCTTCTCGTATTCCTGTGACGGATTCTCGAATTCGCCGCTAAAGATTTTGTTCTTCAGTTCGGCCAGTTCGTCGGCCTCCTTTTCGCGATCCTTGGAATCGGCATCGGCTTCCCGGACGCGCTCGGCCAAACGCTGCTGCAGCTCGCGGCCTCTGTAGTAGAGCACATCGTCGCGCTCGTCATCGTAATCCTCGACGAACTCCTTCAGCCGTTTGGCGTCCTTCTCGCGCTCCTCCTGTCGCATCAGCTCCTTGTGGCGATACTGCAATGATTATTATTGTTAGTTAAAAGCTTAGTCATATTCTAAGATGACATTTGCCTAAAGCCCCAAACGCAATTAAGTGTAATTCAGTTTCGCGCTCACTTCCCTCGTATTGCCTACACTTATGCTAAGATGACATTTGCTTAAAGCTTGCAGAACTTTCTCGCTTAAATTGCCTTCAAGTATGCTAAGATGACATTTGCTTTAAGCTGAAACTACGATTCATTGTAATCAGTTTATGGAGCTAATCAAAGTTTGAGTTTTAGTAAAAAATAAAAACATTACTTTCCCTCTTTCGCATGCCTGAAAGTGCATTGTCATCATGCTCTAATGACATTTGCCTAAAACGCATGCAAGAAAATTTATACAAATGCGAAAAGCTGCCAAACAAAATGTATTTAATGTAAAAGTTCTCTCGTCGAATTTCAAGTTTTCAGAGTTAAAAGAATTTTTAAGCAAATGCAATTGAAAATTTCGCTTGTGATTTCTATAAAATGTTTATACTTATCTTGGGAAATAATATTTTCTGAACGATAAGTGCATATAACTTAAAGTTAATCAGAACTCACAAATACGGCCTCTCTGTATTGTTTAACGGTAATAAAGACACCTAAAACTTAATTTAAGCAAGTGTCATAAGAGCATAATTGGCAGAACATTGCTATGCTAACATGACATTAGTATCTTCTATTTGTATATCTCTCTTGTCTAACTATAATAAACCGGATTAAGTTGAATCAAGTGTCATTCGCAGCATACTTGGAGAAACATTATTCCTATGCTAAAATGACATTTGTCTTTATCTTCTAAAGCGGATTAAGTTGAAGCAAGTGTCATTCGCAGCATAACTGGAGGAACATTGTTCCTATGCTAAAATGACACTTGTCTTTAGCTTCTCAAATTGCCGCTCCCTATTGTCTAGCTATAATAAAGCGTATTAGATTTAAGCAAGTGTCATTTGTGGCCCAATTGAAATGTGCTCTTTACCTTCTCATTCTCCTTGGCCTTGCGCTTCTCGCGTATCTCCCAGTTGGTGAGACGCTCCTGGTAGGCGGCCTCCTTTTCGCGCGCCTTCTTCTCGGCCTTCTTGCGCTCGCGCATCTCCTCCTCCATTTCCTTTTCGCGCCGTGCATCTCGCACGGGCTTGATGATCTTCTCCTCGCGCTCGCGCTCACGCTCACGCTCCCTGTCCCGCTCGCGCATCTCGATGCGCTCTCGCTCGCGCTCACGCTCACGCTCTCGCTCACGTTCACGCTCGCGATCACGCTCGCGTTCGCGCTCCCGTTCACGCTCCTTGTCGCGCAGCTCACGGAGCTCGCGCTCACGCATTAGCTCACGCTCACGCTCGCGCTCACGTTCGCGCTCACGATCGCGATCACGATCGCGCTCCTTGGTGCGCGACTTGGAGCGGCGATCGCGTCGCCTGCTCTCCTTGTGCGAGTCGCTGTTGCTGCGCTCCTTGTGCTCCTTGCGCGCCGGCGACACATCGATGGTGACAATGGACTCCTTGCGGCTGCGACTGCTCGGCTCCTTGCTGGGCTCCTTCTCGATGATCTCGACCACCTCCTCGACCTCGCTGCTGGCGCCGATGCTGGCTGGAGGCTTGCCGCTGCCGCTGGCGCTGCTGCTGCTCGTTTTGCGTTCGCTTTCGCGCTGCTTTTTGCGCTCGCGATCGCGTTCGCGCTCCTTTTCCTTCTCCTTGGTGGCCAGCTGCTTCTCCTTTTCCTTCTCCTTTTCCAGCTCCTTGCGATGCTCGTCGGCCTCGGCGCGCTTGCGGAACTTGCCAATCTCGCTGCTGATCAGGTTGCGCTTCTCCTCCTCGAGCGCATTGTCGTTTAGGGATTTGATTTTGATGTCATCCTCGCCGCGTCGCGTCTTCTTGTTGCGATTGCTGCTGCTGCTGCCGTATAGATCGCCGCGATTCGTGCCGTCGAAGCCCTCGAACTCGTGCTTGTGCTCCTCGAGCAGCTCGTGCATTTGGCTGGTCGCGAACTCGTCCTCAGTCTTTTCGTCCATGGCATTGGGACCGCCCTCGCCATTCTTGCACTCCTTCTCCTTGTAATCCTCGATTAGCACTTTGTTCTTTGCATCCACCTTAGCCACCAGCTTCTTACCATCAATCTCCAGTTCGCTCAGCAGACGCACAGATCTCATGGCCGCAATGGGACCGCTGCAGGAAGAAAAGAAACAGCACATTCAATTTAACATCTAGATCCAGCAGCTTATGTTTACATAATGCTGTTAATGTCACATTAACAGAACTGTTAACTGTTCAACAAATTCCTGTTACGTGCATCTTTTAGACATGGCTTTCGATAAAATTCATTCTTATTTATGTTGTCTTAAAAATGTGCGATAAAACTAGGATTTCTCTTCTGCAAGAGATCATTATTTTTTTCTGCTCTGTTAACGTCACGCTGTTAACATAGAATATTTGTTTAACATTGCGAATGCATATTTTATGTTATGTTAACAGAGTCACGAAACTGTTAATGTCAGACAAGGCTATTCTTCGTCACAATAACATAACGAAGATTTTAACGTGTTACAGACAAACAAAGAGAGAATGTTGGATGCGTCTGGAGCAGAAAGAAGGAAACGAGAGAGACTAGTTGGACAGTCGGGCATGGCTATAGCGAGTAGACTGCTGATACGGATCAATAATATATATATATATACATTGTCTTATAGGCAGGAGCAACACGAATAGCTCCAAGGAGATGCTCAAAGTTGGCTTACTCGAATTCACAGAATCCGAAAGTGGAGACGCGCTTCCAATTGATGACAACGCCGCAGGCGGATAGGATGCGCTTGAGCAGCGATTCCGGTACTCGTTCGCTGATGTTGCCCACGAAGACGGTGATGACGGGTCCACGGAATTGCGGCTGCGGCTCCGGCGGCCTATGATAGACTGTTGGCTGTGAGCTGATCGTCGCCGAGTTGCGGTAGCTGCGTGGCGGGGGTATCGGAGGCATCAGCTGGATGGGCAACAAAATAAAAACAAAATTGATCAACATTTTGCAAAATTAAAAATTTCGAAAAAAAAAATACTTACATGCGGCGGTGGTATCGATGCATTCATATATGGCGGCATCGGCGCTCGCGGTGGATATGACATTTTGTTGTTCCTTATGTTTTGCCTTCCTGTTTAAATACTAATATTTTGTATATTGTTGTTGGGGTGCGTGTAAATTAAAGCCGACACATTCAGACACACACACACATACGCAACATGCACGCTCGTACACATATACAGTCGCACGCAAGCATACACATACACCGTACACACACACACACATGCACATACGATAGAAGCACACGGGTCTTGAAGTGAACGTGAATCGTGTACGATATTTGTGGTTTAAAGGCAAATATGTGTTAGTTTCGCTATCTAAAAGAGCGCGTGCATTCAAGTACACTACACGTGTTCAAGTCTGCCCGCCGCGATATCGTATTTAAGTTTAAATTTCTACATACATATGCAATTTAAAAAAAAAAACTACACGTAAAAAAGGCTGTTCTCAAATTTTCACCACTGCAGCCGCTGCCACATAGAGATGAGAAAGCGTGAAAGCGCTGCTGTTATCGTTTCGCGTGCGATATATATACACAATGCAGTCGTTGTGCGTTGACAGTCGGCGCGGCTTGGTGTTGAGAAATACCAAAAAATTAGTATCAGCTGTTTGCAAAAATACAAACACAAATACAGTTTTATTTAACATTCGAGATTTTATAACAGCATCATTTAAAAATTTGCAAGAAACCGAGCACAACATATTTTAAGTAAAACTACGGTCACACCACTAAGTCCCACTAAGTGTTGGCATTTAGCAGCCGCGTAGCAAGCATTTCTGCTGTTAAAAGAGGAAAAATATATCAAACACATTATACAATGCGCCTGAGTGCTGTGCTGCGATGTCGCAGCGTTATCAAGCAACAATATGTGCCTCAGCACAAACCAGTGCTGGACGATGACATAAAGCGTTTGGAGGATTTCTTGCTGTCGAAACCAAACATTTTGGTGCTCACTGGCGCTGGCATCTCCACAGAATCAGGTGCGAACTGACACTGGCCTACCATTTACCAGGTTTTTCATGGTATATTAAACTGTTGTTTTATTGTCTGCAGGCATACCGGACTATCGCTCCGCTGGCGTTGGCCTGTACGCGCGCACCAATCACAAGCCTATACAGCACATCGAATTCCTGAAATCGTCCAGTGTGCGAAAACGTTATTGGGCCCGCAACTTTGTGGGCTGGCCAAATTTCTCGAGCACCCAGCCAAATGGTACCCATCATGCGCTGGCGCGCTTTGAGCGCGAGATGCGCATCCAATCGGTGGTCACCCAGAACGTGGATCGGCTGCACACAAAGGCCGGCTCCAAGAGCGTGGTGGAGCTGCATGGCAGCGGCTATGTGGTCAAGTGTCTGGGCTGTGAATATCGCATCGATCGGCACGAGTTCCAGAGCATACTAACCGCACTGAATCCGGCGTTTAAGGATGCGCCCGACATGATACGGCCCGATGGCGATGTCGAAATACCAGCTGAATATATTGAGAATTTTCAAATACCCCCCTGTCCGCAGTGTGGCGGCAATCTCAAGCCGGAAATTGTATTCTTTGGCGACTGCGTGCCCCGAGATCGTCTCGATACGATTGCCAAAATGGTGTACAACAGCGATGGCCTGCTGGTGCTCGGCTCCAGTCTGCTGGTCTTCTCCGGCTATCGCATAGTGCTCCAGACCAGGGACCTTAATCTGCCGGTGGCCATTGTCAATATTGGGGAGACGCGTGCGGATCATTTGGCCGACATTAAAATCTCGGCAAAGTGTGGCGATGTGATACCCAAGCTCTTCGATTATCGTACCACAACCTAGGCGAACTCCATTTTTTGTTGTTTATTTTTATTGTAATACAAATTGTTGACATTTTATTAACTGACCTTTTACTCGGATTTTAATGTCTAGATGGGACTCGTTAATTTCTGATCTCCGATCCACATTATTATAATTATTCTCCATATGCCAAGCAGGCAGCTAAAGACTTCAGATTTGAAAACCCTTGTAACATGTATATATATTCTTGATCCGTATCAACTAGTCCCTACGTTTTGTAGGCTTAGCTTTTGGTATATTGATCGATCTTGTCATAGATGCCGCGATTGCTGTCGCGAAACCAAACGTCCATTTCGAGCAACGGTAGGTGCTGCAGCGCCTCCACTGAGCGATCCCCCAGACGAGCATCGTTCGCAGCGAAGCGTAGGGTGCAGGTGCCGGTACAGAGATCCGTCTGATGCTCATTGTACTCGTAGACCACCAGATAGAAGTGTGCGCCGCAAGTGAAGGATTCGTGCAGCAGCAGAGGCGGCTTTAGGGAGCATCTTAGCTGCTGTGTGGAACTGAGCTGTGAGTCCGCCAGCTCAATGACTGTTTGGTCCGCTGGCAGTGCGGCTGGCGGCGACTTGACAAAGCTTTGGCTGAATCGTGGACAAGATTGTGTTGACAGGCGCTGCGAAGGCACAACTGTTATCACGCTAGCCTCATTGGAGGTGGCATCCTCGTCGGAGAGCACCGGCGAATCCTCATCGGGTGCTATGCTCAGGGCACAGCACGTTTTGGGCATATAATAGGAGGCATCTATTTGTTCGTCTGCCGTTTCCCAGCTGGGCTTGTGCGGCACCCTCTGGCCGGAATAGTTGTGTTGACCATGGATCAGCTTCTGCTCGACGTCAATGCACAAGCTGCACTTAAAGTCGTTTAGCTCAACGCCATGGGTGCGCACCAGGCGCATTGTGCCCACACGACACTTGAGATGGCTGCCCGTGGCGGCGCACAGTATGCACAGCTGTATGGTCCAGCTGTGTCTGTGGTAATCCCGTCCATTGGGGCACAGGCACACGGCCTGTTCGCAGCGCAAACGCTTGCTGTGCAGCTCGCTGTACGCATTCGGCTGACGCTCCCACGTGGCATCGCGGTCCGGCACAAACACCGACTGCAGCCGTATCGTGTCGTGGAACTTCTTGTCCCGGCACCACAGACAACGCAAATAGTAGCCGGAGGCGAGCGCATAGCGTCGCATACACGTCCGATGCGCGAATCCCTTGCGACAGCAATCGCCGTAGGTGACGTTGTGCAGCAGGAATGGTGAAATGGCACGGAAACAGATGTCGCAATAGGCATCCTTGGGCGGCTTGTTCATCAGCTGCTGCTGGTAGTCGTCCAGCGGCATGCAGTGCTCGCAGTAGCTGCGGAATTCATCGCAAAACTGATATATGCAACGATTCTCCAAGCCGCAGGGCATGTGGAAAACGATGCGACACTTGTAGCAAACGACGCTGGCGCCTCTCTCCTTGCAAAAGGCGCATTTGCGCTGCTGGGCGGCGGCCGCCTCCTGGCGTATGTCGCGCAGCAAAAAGCCCAGAATGCCGCTGGAGTCGCCGCCGCGTTGCGGCAAATTCGTGGACAGCAGCTGTTCGAAGAGTTTGCAGAGTTTAAACTAACTGAAAACATTCAAATGTGCCGCTTACCAGACAATAATAGTGCACCGTCACCTTCTGCTTGATCATCCATTCGCCATATAGCAGGACATCATCGGCATCCTCGTTAGCGCTGCTTTTATTGCATATATCACATTTGTACATGACGCGACGTTCTTTTCAAATATTGCAACAGTGTGACCGCGCGCGCGCTTTGTTATCGATAACTGGCAATTGTTGCCGCAATGCCGGCTGTGTTCTCCAACACTGCTTGTCAGAATAGGAAAAAAAAAACGGCACATATATAACAAAAAAAAAAAAAAAGCACACACACCGAAGCAGCAGCAGCAGCAACAACAACAACAGCAACATAACAACCAGAGAGGCATCGACAAAACTGGCTGTTATTTAGTAATTTATATAAAACAAAAACACAATGGCCTACGACTTAAAAAAAGAGTCTGACGTTAAGGAATATGTGGAGAAGCTGGGCGTTGAATATCGCTTTGGCTGTTACTCGGAAAAGAAACCGGAAGGTAAAGCAACAACAACAGGCGGCCAGTTCGCCAGCCACAACAACAACAACAACAGCAACGGCAACAGCAACAACAACAAAAACATTGTGTGTGCTCTAACCTAGGTTTTTGTATCGTAATTGAATTACAAAACACAAACGAACCTGAACATTTTTTGTAAATTATACGCTTAAGAACAATAACTGAAAACTGTTAAAACATTATTTACAGTTTGCCATCTGCTCGGCGACTATCTGGAGGGCATCAAGAAAGATTTCGAGAAGGCCTCCAAAGTATACAAATCGACATGTGACGATTATGGTTATGCAAAATCCTGCTATAAATATGGCAACTATAGCTTCCTCGGCAAGGGCAAAAGCGGCAGCAAGGGCGAGCCCCGCGTCGCCTATCAATATTACGAGAAGGGCTGCAATCTAAATGATTCGGATGCCTGTTTGCATTCCGGCCTGTTGCTCGTGTCGCGCTCCATGCCCAAAGAGATCGACAGAAATGTGCCCAAGGTGAGTGGATAAACACAACTATTATATATATTTATGTATGTATTATTGTAACGCTTGCAGGGCTTGCAGTTTCTAACGAAGAGCTGTGACATGAACAATGCCACCGCCTGCTTCTATCTGTCCGGCATGCACATTTCGGGCGTACAGAAGAAGCCGGAGGATATGGCAAATGGTGGCGGCAGTGCGTCAGCCAGCACACAATCCAAATCGCTTAAGGACGCCGATTACATTGTGCTCAAGGACATGAAGAAGGCATTTCAGTTCGCACACAAGGCATGCGAATTGCGTAACATGTACGCCTGTGCCAATCTCAGCCAGATGTATGCGCGCGGCGATGGCATCGAGAAGAACGAAAAGGAGGCGGAAAAGTATAAGAAGCTGGCCCTCGAAATGCAGGAGGAGGTCAAGAAGCAACAGGAGACGCTCAGTTTTCAGCAGGGCGTCGGCATGCCCAACTGATTAACCTATACATATGTATATATACATATATTGATATATATATACATATGCATATATGTGCATGTATATATACAAATACTATATATACATATATATAGTTGACTTTTCCTTTCCATGCTGCGCTCTTCCCTCTACGCTCGAGTTTTCCCAAAATTTACATCTTGTTCTCTATTTTCTTCGTTTTTGATTTATTTTCTTTGCCATTTTGCGACGCGTTTCATAATTTGTTCCGTTCACCCTTCAATACTTTCAATCTATTCCCTATATCTAACTTAAGTGGGCTATACAAACATCAATATATATATATATATATATATATGTATTACTTTTCGTCGTGTACATAGGCAGCATTTGCGTTTTCGGCATGTGTTTTGTAAAAGAGGAAATTCCTAGTTTTAATTGTTAAAGTTAAACGAGTAACAAGCAAAATGATAACCTTATTATTCCCCGTTGATACCTTAAATTAAATACAAAGAAACAAACCAAAATCAAGCACAATCAAATCGCTCTCATATATGTATATATGCTGTATACCCTGCATCTATTGCAAGCGAGTATACGGCTTTTGTGTATAATGTATGTAACAGGCCTGGCAAAGGTTATATGTTCCTGTTCAGGATGACGAGCTGAATCGTCTCCCACCCCCTTGTCACTTCGATCCTGAAAACTATAGAGTCTAAACATGTCAAATATATATATTATATATATAAAAATGTCAAATAAGTTAAATATTCACTTGATTTTTGAGCGTAACTCGCATTTTATAAGCTCTGAATACGTCAAACTTGGTAGCTAGCTTCTCTATAAAGTATATTTGACTTTTTGTATACCCTGCCCCGTTCCCTCTAAGGCTATTGGGCATATAATTCGATGCGCAGAAATTCCAGAAAGTAAGGTTATAATTTTGACAATTCAAGCGTCCCAGTTCATAGGAAATACCCCTGCTATATATCAAACTATCATAACTTTGCGAAAAACTAACCGACTTTGATAATCGAGGGCAGATTGATTTTGTAGCTGAAGTCTATGCGAAGATCTTATAGGTATACAGGTAGAAAGCGATATCTATTGGAAGATTCTCAACCAGTCCATTTCAAGCCCCTCCATAATTTTATGTATGTAGAAATTGGAAGGTTTTTGAAGGTAGCTCGGGCGCTGGTCAGAGGGTATCCCCTAGTCGGTCACTCTCTCTCTCTCTCTCTCTCTCTCTCTCTCTTTCTCTCTTTGTCTTGCCTACAGTTAACACGAAAAGTCTATTAATCCGAATGGTGGAGCCGGGTGTGGGGAATTTTTTAATGAGCATTGCCTATTGTTCTTATCGTTTAATCGTTGACAAAACGTGTTTCCATTTCATTATATTTAAAATCTAGAATTTCTATTATCAGTTCCCAGAACTGCAATTGATTTCGGATCAACAGCCCACAGCTGGACACAGAGTATACAATAATTTTAAATGGAAGCGTTTTGTGAACAATTAAAAATGTCTCAATGTAGTTTGAATTATATTATGTCTCTGGATGGAGATTCCCTTATGGAAAATAAGCTAAATTCTTATTGGAGAGAGTAAAGAGAGAGAGAGAGAGACAGAGAGAGAGAGAGAGACAGAGAGAGAGAGAGAGAGAGAGAGGGGGGAAATATATAAAATCTTATTAGCTTTCGTATATAGCTGCAAGTAGATAACTATAGTTATTAAACTAATCACAGGCCTCTCTTGTATATTTAGATAGGAGGAAAAGTATAAATTATATAGGTAAACACAGGGTATAATACAGTCTACAGCTTAGACTGCGCGTCGTCAATCAATCAGCTTGATCAGCATTTCAGCTAACGAAATCTTACTGTGCATGTTCCAATTGGACTGTCCAATTAGAATATGCCACTTGCATTCTTATAAGTCGCACACCTAAGCTCATGTCATATTGTTTTACCAGCTGGTAAATAGAGATAAACGTGAACTCACGTATTTTCTTTGTTGGGATTTCTGCTTGATTAACTGCAATGCATATATTTGTATATGTTGCCAGGCAAATGTAATTGGTTTGTTTTTTTTTTTTGCCATCAGCTTCGGTTTCGTGCTCGAGCATAGGGAACATGCGTTTCTTGATAAGATGAATGAATATCTAATGAATGGGAATACGGTGAACCAAACTAATCAGATGAGACGCGATAAGAACCGTTCGGAATTCGCTTCCTCAAAAAAAATTGCTTGTTTTCTATTGATTCTTCTTTTTTTTTTTTACCCTCTTTTATCTATCACTATGTTTTTATCTTTACGTAATTTTGCTATTTGCATAAGTTTGAGCAAACTTTGAGCCTTGAGTGTTTTTAGACATGAATTCTAGATGTACCGCAATCTTCTTCTTTAAGTAGATCGAAATTTGCTGTCACAAAAAATGCCTAGTCAAAGTCCTTTACTTAAAACTTACATAACTTTGTGAATACTGGAACTGATTTTCGCAATTGATATCAATTTCTTAATTGCTTTTCCTTAAGATTCTGCATTCTGCATTTGAATTTCATTCAAATATCAAAATACTGTTATCAATTTGTGTGAGAAAGTATTGAAAATAAATAGGTTATGTGCGATAATCTTTTGACAAAATGGCAGACAGAACCGTTATTTTGCAATTAATTGGCGAAGGCATTAAAATCAAGAAATAAACTCATTAAAAGTGGGTTAATTAAATAGTTTATTGGATTAGTTTTATATATATAAATAAATTGTTGTTGTTGTTGTTGACATTGTTGTTGTTCAAGCCAAGCCCAAGCCGAAAAAAAAAATAAACAGTTTCTTTGATGGCACGAGCTTATTTAAATAGAACATAATTAGTTGGTCGCTGTACCATGACATGACCTTTGCCGCATAGGATGGTATGCTGTTCAAACTGTGCACGGATCGCCGTCGATGTGAGGAAACTGGAGACTGCTCGACGACAACAACAACAACAATTCTAATAATACGGGCACGCTACGTAGGTGTGTGTGTGTGTGTGTGTGCGTGTGTGGCCAGCATGCAATCGGGCTTTTGTGTGCGACAAGTACAAGTACATAGTCTATGGCTAGTTAAACTGTATATAGTACAAAACATATGCATACATATGTACACACATACATACACATGTATGTGTGTGTGTGTGTGTGTGTAATTCAATATATGTAGGAGGTAGAGAAACAGCAGCGAATGGCTGGCTCTATAGAACAAAATCAAGCTCGGCAAAAATTTCGATGCTCAGTTTCGACTAAAGCGCTATCCGAAACATCGAATCAGTTTAACGTCAAACGTCGGCGGCATCAAGACAATATATAGAAAAAAATCAAGTCAAAGCCCAAGCCAAATGCTAAACTAAACGAAAGCCAAAGCCAAAGCCAAATGACAAATGCCAAAAGCTTAGACTATAAATACACATATACACGCACACACACACACATACACACCAACATTGATATACTAGCATACGTACATACATGCATGCACATATACACACATACAGAAGCCGAGCATAAAGAAATGTGAAAGATGCGCGCGGTCAACTAAGCAACGGGATACGGGATTGACAATATTTTTTTTTGCTGTTGTTTGTTGTGTGTTTGCCTATTGTCGTTGTTGTTGCTGCTATTGTTGTTGTTGTTGTTGCGGCTTCAGCGTAAAAGTGTGATAAAGATAAAAGACAAGTGACAAGCGATATTCGTGACTGGCACGAGGCGCGTGCGTGTGAGCGAGATCGCAAGCGCAGCTGTCGACTGTGTGACTGGCTGCAGATGTGCAAGAACAAGAGCGA